GCTAATGCGCCATCTTCTTCAGAAGGCTTGTGCATTTCAGCATCCATGATGTTATCTCCAGTATCCGCCTCTTGTTCTGGAATTGATTTTGCTGAAGTTGTAGATTGACGTTGACACTTTGAACTCGAAATTCTGCACAACCCAAGAGTCATGAGATGAGCTGACTGGGCCATCTCCTCGTCTTGGACCTCTGCATTCAATCCATCATTCAAAGGAGCAGTCAGGTCAGTGCTTGCTTCATCCAGATGAAACACAGACTCCTCCTCGCAGATATCATCATGTCTATCCTCCTCAAAGAGGGTGCTAACCTTAATAAAACAAAAGTTTAGACGTAAATTCTTCACATTTCTTTGACAAAAACGTGTTTTCAATAGGCTAACTTAGCCGACACTTTTGACTAAGTGACTTGGGGCAAAAACATTTGGAAATCAGGGAATCTCAGGGAATCAACGCAAAAAGTCTGATTTATCTCAGAACACTCCACTAGCGGGAAAGCAAAAAGTATTAAAGTCCCAACTCCCAAAAAGTTTTTGAGCAATCCTTTTAACATCAAGAAAACCATGGTATAATTACCTCACAAGTTTGAGCCACATGCAGGTTTCCATCAGAGCTAGAGCCCAAGCCAATGGCGCAAGATCGTGGGCTAATGTTTGGAAATATGCTGTATATTGGAAGAAGGAATGAAATGCGCTCCATATCAATAGGATCCTCATGATTCTTTAAGCCTGAATGGAGGTCTATCTCTAGGTTATATGGTGAACTGCTGTATTCAACCTCCACTTCATCATCCACTGCCATTCCTTTCCCCAAACCTTCTTCATTTTCTTTCTCCAAACAAGGCAGCTTTGGACAGGGGGACACTGGGTCATGTCTTTCAATGACATGGTGGCTGATCCTTGTTTTCTGGTTGCTGGTAAATTGACAGACTCTGCATCTGTAAACTTCAACCAAGAAAGCTTCAACCAAAGTCGACAAACGAGTTTCGATGCCTTGAGCGGAGTGGCAGTAGAGACTCGAAGTGACATTCTCTTCTGATAGTTGAAGGGTTACGGGTTGGACGTCTTGGTATTCATCTTTAAAACCACCCATTCTGGAAAGTAAATGAAAATAAGTCAGTTGCTAAACAATAATGCCAAACTCGGATAAATATATTAAAAGTACAGTTGTATATTTTGTCATTCAGAGGGTTTCACATAAGATTGTGACAAATCGATGGCTAAATAGAACTTTTTACTTAAAAAGAACTCGTATATACTTAAGTTATATAGGAGTTTGGCGAAATTGTGGCGTTTAATGTCAAAAGAATGAATTTAATATAAATATAACTGTTGCACTGTACATTAAATTAAAAACCCGTTCAAAAGCAGGCCAGGAATTATTTGGGCCTTTTACGTCTCGTAATTTAAGAGCATCTGGCAAATGTGTCGTTTACCTGTATCGTGTTATCTTCAAATTACATAACACTAACGGACGCGGACATGCAGATTATGGGTTTATTATCTTCCAAAGATGCAGCATACAACGTGAGGATTGAAATATTTTTTAAAATCTACAATCATCCCATGTGCTACCAACACAACTAAACACTTAACAGCGAGTACTTAGTAATAAAAAGAATTCCAGTCGTTCACGTATGCTTCGAAGACTACAACGCGTACGTTTCCTGGGGGGTGAGCTCCAAAATAAGTGATTCAACAATGTGAACCGAAACTAGAGGTTTTGATTCAGTGACTCACCATTAAATCCAAAGGACCTTTTATGCGTTGTCACTGGAAGATGATGAACAACAAGAATAGTAATTTTTGGATAATTTAATGGTATTTAATGTTCCGTTGTAGATTTCACAACAACAAATCCAAGACTGAAACTATGAACTGAACCGAATCTATTCGCCAAACGACTCAGTTAAGCACGAAAACAAGATGGCGGATATGGAAGCGTACTTGTTAGCCAAAACAATAGCTAAGGATTATGTGTAAGTATAACCCTCAAGCACGCTTGTTTGATATTTGTTGTTAGTAGACCAACACAAATGTTTACACACATATATAAATTTATATACATTAACTTAACACACGTTTTGTGAGTGTTTAGTCATTATGTGAGAACGTGTTTCGGGTTAACACAGCTTAGGTCAGACGTACAGTATTTTTAGTTTAAATAATTTCTCAAATTTGTGTTTTATTGGTAATGAATACCTTACAAGTTCAAAAGTGTATCTTGGTAAGCTTTTGGTAGCTTTAAATCAGTCAGTTTAATTATTTGCACTGTACAGGCCATTTCAATATATTTATCATTTTATAACTTTTTACTAAATTACAATACTGTCCTTTAAAAATGTTATATATATATATATATATATATATATATATATATATATATATATACACACACACGTCAAATAGTATCATCATCTAATTTGTTTTATGTTTTAGAGATGACATGGAATCCTCCGACAGCGTTGATGGAAATGAAATTGCTCTTGGAGAAGATGGAGTTAGAAAAGCAGATAATGTGGATCTTCACAGAGGGGAGAAGCACAAGAAAAGAAAACACAAACATCGAAGCAAGCACAAGAAACATAAATATTCCTCACCAGATGAAAGGGACCAAAAGCACAAGTACAAACACAAACATAAGCGGAAACATAGAGGCAGTGTCCGTGATGACAATGACTGTTCTCCCAACTATGAAGCTGCAGTCTCTCCAAAGCAATTCAGACTTGATGATCTTGCTGCTCTTGAGGATCTGGAGAAACAGAGGGCTTTGATTCAAGCAGAGCTTGAAAACGAACTTATGGGTGGGTCTGTGCAATCAGGTATGGGACTGATTTTACATGGATACAACTCTGATTCAGATGATGATGATGATGATAGTGAGCTGCAAAATGGTGAGCAAAGGAAAATGGCTCCTAATCAGCATGTAAGTGCTGAGCAAAATGAAGAAATATCTCAAATGTATTATGCAGATGATCTAAAATGTGACTCTCTGCTTGAAGCCAAAAGTATACATGAGGAGAGACCAGTTGGGAAGCACCAATCTGAAATAAGAGGGAGTATTACTGGGTTTAATGTAACCATTAATGAAAAGTCTAGTGGTCTTGGACAAGAGAAAGCTCATAGACAATCTCACAGCAATGAGAAATCCAAAGACAGGAGTCAGAGTTCCAAATCTCCTGTGAAATCTAAGCAATTGCCATCAAGCAACAGAATATCAACTTCACGGTCCGAAGAACAAACAACAGGCCACCGTTCTTCATCAAGAAGAAGCAGATCTCGATCTGAAGAAAGAAACACCAACTTACCAGAAGTTGGCAGGGATAGAGACAAGAAACCAGTAAAGCCAGCCACCAAAGAAGCTTCTTCTGGAAAAGAGAATCAGTCTCCAATCAGGAAAGAAGGTCCAGAAAGGCTGAGTCCAATTGTGCAGCATAGGGCCCACCGTTCACCTGAAAATTTTCCTGTTGCCCAGAACACAGAGAGGGGTTCCAGGCAGAACAGATCTTCAAGCCACAACAGATCACCCCTAAGAAGAGGTCGATCCAGGTCTTTGGAGCGGAGGCGGAGAGAAGATGAGAGGCGAAGAGTTTCCAGTGACAGGTTGTTTCATTGTAAATTTTGATAATTCTTGTAAATTGTAGTTGTAAATACTGCAGTAATGCAGCTTTTACACCAAGCTGTTTTGTAACGGCAGTGAGCTTTTGTGAGATTTTCCACCTTGTTCTGTACATTTTAGCAGAAGATTCGAATAGCAGGCCAAGGTTCAAATAGCAGGCCAACGTGATGCTATACTCTGAAAGCGTGATGCTAAAGCTCACTGATTGGCCAGTAAGAATAGTCTCTGCTGGCCTAATCATCTACAAAATGGTGCACAACCCCATAGCTTCATATTGTCCAGCAAACAATTCTACGGTTAGTTTGTTGCATTTGAGATGACACCAAGTAGAACTAGAAAGAAAAAGCAGAGTGACTTATCTCCGGTGACGTGTTTGAAACAAGTCCATTCCGAACCGATAATTTGCTGGAAACAAACACTAACCTTGGGGAGTAGAGCTAAGCTATACCAAGCTGAGTCATGCCGGCACTAAAATTCTTTGAAAAAGTGGTATAAGTGTTGTTGAGTTTTATGAATTCATTTTGTTTTCTCCATATTTCTAGAGTTCGTTCTCATGATGTAGGAGGGCGTAGAGAGCAGTCCCCCTCAAGACGAAGACTGAACCACTCACCTATCAGAAGAAGGTCCCGTTCTCCAAGAAGACGAGGCAGTAGGTCTCCTCTCCGACACAGGTGACTTTTTAGGGATTGTTTCATTTTCTCTTATGGAATAAAAATTAGCTGCATTTCCATCCACCATCCATTTATTTTGGTATATTGCATAAAAAGCTTGGATGGAAATGCCAAGATATGCATAAAGTTTAAAATGCGCTTAAAAATAAAGTGCACAACTAAGCATGATTAAAAAAAAATAAAATTTCAGAGAAGAAAAAATTTGCATAAACATTGATGGAAACACATTTACTGAATAAATCCCAATTCAATGGCAATGCATTTTCAGAACTCTGGCACGATGGGGAAGTACTGATTTTATGGCACAACATCCTAAATGTTGTTTTGGTCACTCTAAAATTCTTTGGCCAAAGTTTGTCATCAAAGTGGTTCGCGATTATCACCTCATAGACTTAAATGGTAACGGCTGAGTTTCCAAAGAGCAGTCTCCCACCTCCAAGAGCAAGATGACAAGACAGTGCATATTGCGTTTTTTAATCTATGTGTTCAAGTAAGCTATTGCATACGAAAAAAGGCCTTTTCCTAATTTAGCATCTTTCGTTTTTCTTTTGATATTTATGGCAGTTTATCAGGAAGTGATGATTTTGATCTCTTGGAATTGTTGGATGGAAACTTTGCTTTATTCTCAGATAATTTATGTGATATTCCAGTTTCTTTGGAAGGCAAACATGGCTAGTGATAACATGTTTTGTTAGATCTTTACCTTATCCGATAGCTTTCCTATGGCTCAGTTGGTAGAGCATTGTGCTCAGAAAGAAAAGGTTGTGGGTTTAAATCCCAGGGAAAGCAAGAACTAATAATAAAAATAAATGTTTATTCATTCAAATGTAAGTCGCTTTGGATAAAAGCATTTGACAAAGAGTGTATGGTTCAGCATGAAACCGACTATTCCATAATGTATCCTTAAAATTGCATTAATAATACTGTGCGGGTCTAGGGAACGCGATAGGACTGAGAGCAGACAGCCGGCACGTCTGAGATCACAGGAAAGGCGGAAAAGACGGAGCAGAGAAAAAGAAGACATGTTTAAGGGCAGTCTCTCTGAAGGAATGAAAGCTGATCAGGAGGATTCTGATGATGAAGTGTGAGTATTAAGTAAAATTAGGTGATGCTTTGATAAATTTCATCGTATTTGGTTTAAACACTAATATCTGTATAGATTGGTGGATTTTGACGTTGACGAAGAAGATGAAGAGGCTTTGATTGAGCAGAGGAGGCTTCAGCGATTAGCCATCATGCAGGTCAGAATTCATTTATGACTTTATTTTATTAAATTCTTCTGTTGAAAAGTTTCATGAGACTTTATTTTATTAAATGCGTTTGTTGAAAAGTTTCATCGTAAGATCTTTTGGACATGAGCCTATTGAGAATTGGATGGGATAATATGTTGGTGTTGTTTGCAGAAATATAAACCGGTAAATGAGGACAGTAACATGTCAGGACTCTCGGATCATGGCAGTCCTCAGAGTAGCCCTCACAGCCGATCCCCATCACCAGACGACATCCTTGAGCGTGTGGCCGCTGATGTCAAAGCTTATGAGCAAGAGAATCTGAACACGTTTGAGGATAACATGAAAGCTAAACATAGTCTTGTCTCACAAGAAAATAATGGTAGGTCAAATCCAACTTAATTATATGTATAGCTATCATTTATTTACTTACTCAATGGTGACGTGTATTCATTTCTTAATTTCATGTATTAAATGTCTACATAATTGGTAAATCATAAGAACCATCATCTCTTTGGGTGAACATGACAAAATTTAAATTTTGCTTAAGCTATGTTAACTTTTTTTTTTTTCTTTCATTTCAAAGGCTCAAAATTGCATTTTGTACCTTTCTTGGACACAGTGAAATTTATTATATGAAATTTATATAATAAATAAAAAAGGGAGGTGGCTTGATTTTCTGCTCAGCTTTAATTTGACTAGATTTTGATTTTTATCTTAGGATACTGTCCTGTCTGTCTGCTGATAAGGTGGAGGACGGTTATAAAATCTGGAAAATGATCATACAAAGGAGTTGCCGTGTTCTTGACATGTGCAGCAGCTTGTTCAAACTATAGCATTAATAAATGCACAAATATGCTCAATAATGTGCTCTGGTCTCTGGAGGAAGAACACGGAGCTGATAGGAAGAATAATAGTTAAGAGAATAAAAATAGTCAAAGTTTGAATTGAACATTAAAGATGACGATTGGTTGAATGTTTATAATGTAGTGGCTCTATGTTAACTGTGAATGTCAACAACTAAGCAAGTTTTTGTGAATGAGAAATTGTAAAAATACAGTTTACAGCGAACTTTCTTTACATGCCGGACGTTGCACCTTCTTTCAAAAATAATGACTGGCAAGCATTGGGATTGAACATATAATTTTTTAAACCCTTACAACCCTCTTTAGAAGCAGTTTCCAAAATGTTAGTGTTATTTAAGCATTTTCTTTTGTTATGAGGGGCCAAGCTGGAGCAGGTGGGGTCAGATGTAATGAATGGGGCTGGGGCAAATGCATTTTTTTCCAGAGATGGTTTTATTTAAAAAAAAAGAAATTTGCCATTTGAACACCAAACGTTCATGGTGCTTTTATTGTTACATCAAAAAAAAAATTATAAATTGTTATTTGAGCTAAACCATAATCTTAAGATGTTTGAGTAGGTTTTTGTTGGAAAACAATCCCAAAAGGAAGGACACCGACACCACGAAACTAATTAATGTTAATTTTAATTCCCTATTTTTACATACTAAGTTTGGTACCTATTTCCCACAGTTAAAAGTCACTCAGTTAAATAGTTGACTTAATCCAAACAAGGGGTGGTTACAGGGACTTAGTCACATTAATGGAAAGTAATAAATAATAAGACAGTAATAAAAGTAATGATAAGCAAAATGTCACAGTGTCCCAGCTCACGGTAAACGCTGAGTACATCTCTGGACCAAAAGCCTACAATTGATCAGTTAGGAATGAGAACTAATAGAACTGAACAGTTATAAATGCATTTGATAAATCATACATTTAGTATCTACAAAACATGGAGTTTTGAAATCACAGTTTTTGTGCCTTATATGATCAGAAATTACAATTGAAAAGAAATGTTGCTGATTTACATACTGATAAGACTTTTATGTCAGCAACGAGAATGATGCTAAAGGAATTCCAGTAGGTGTCGGTATAACAACCAGGAACACTTGACACTCATCAGTTGTGATGGATGAGTTGCATTTGAAATATGAGGCTCGAAACGAGCTCTCTGGGGTTATGCAAGTAGAAACATTATCAGCAGCCCATGTTCCTTTCATTCATCTTTGTTCTTTTTCTTTAGGTGCTAATCCTAAAAAGCCACCAGCCGCTGATATGTTCACAGAGTCAGATGATATGTTTGCGGCGTACTTTGACGTGAGTAGCCAACTCCTGCTTTCTATTGGATAACTCTGTTCTTTCGCGACCTGAAAATTTGAATTTGTCCATGTAAGCGGATCTCTGCAGCTAGAGTTGCATAGTGCTGTACACGCTGTTGTTTCTTTACTGGAAACTTGGTTCAAAGCGTTTTTTTCCTCAAGTGGGTAATATGACTCTCAGGCAATCACTGGATCTTGAGGCCCCTCAGACTATGTAAGGGTCGCAGGGTGTCAGTCACTTGGTCATGAATGAGTGTTTTAATCAACTTGCTGAAATTAATCAGGTGGACCATGAAAAGTCAGCATCTAATATCTCTCTGCAGAGTGCAAGGTTACGAGCTGCAGGAATTGGGAAGGACTTCAAGGAGAACCCAAGTCTCAGAGATAACTGGACAGATGCAGAAGGATATTATCGTGAGTTTGCAGCTTTTTGGGGACTATTGTATTTAAAATTAACAGAAACACCTGGGGTTGGGGGAGTATGATTATTTAACATAGAGAATAGTATTATCTTTTAAAAAAAAATGCTAAAAGTTTGCATTTTGAACTGAACTCAACTGAACTGGACTTATTAGCTGGAAGCCAGAAATGCTAAGGATGGGATGGTCAATGCTCAGGTCTGCATGTTTTGTCGTCGCCTTTTGTTTTATTTTGGATTGTAGTTTAATCATGTTCACATAACAAACGAATCACTCTAGAGTTCCTTTGGAACCGTACCAAGACCACCCCCTCGAGCAGATGTCAGGGTGCTTTAACACCTGAGATGTTTGTTTGATTCATTCGAACTACAGTTTGTTTTCCCTTTTAGCAACAACCAAACTAATCATTGGACCAAAAGCGGACTAAAAAAAAGCAGTCTGAGACCAGCTCGACAAAACCCTAAGCTTACTTTAACACAAAGCGCGGCTGTTGTTCGGGCTCAGAGTCTCTCCACATTCCAGCTCAACATCTCAACATTTTCCTGAATGAAAAATGTTTAGTTTAATAAAAACTAAGAAATCCAAGTAGAAATCCTGTAAAATGTGCCATTGGAGGATCTTTGTGTTGATCTCTTGTTTTCCAGATATTAGTCAAGGATCTGTTGCTGCTGACATGATCTTGTGTCTCTCCAGTCAGACCAACAGCACTGCTCCACAAATTAGGTCTTGAGGGTATTATTCTATGAAAACAATCCAGTTTTTGTAGAATACAGTGGTACCTCGAGATACGAAATTAATCCGTTCCAGGGTGGCTTTCGTATCCCGAACATTTTGTATCTCAATGCAAATTTTATATGTAAAACGCCTAATTTGTGCAATGGCTCTCAGAAACAACAGTATAAATTGCTAAAAAAAAGGAAAACCAGAGAGAAATCGAGTAACGTTTCCTCAAACCTGAAATCTACACATTGTTCATGTAACAAATGATAATAAAACAGAATAAGACACAAATACGTAATATATACACAAATGGTAAACCTTATACCTTGAGTGAAGCGATGTTGTGGTGAAGTGTCGGAGGAGGTAGAATGGAACTGATGGCAGAAAACATTACGGCACTACCTATGAAAGTTAACTTTCTCAAGATATTTCATGAATTATGAACAACCTGGTCTCAAGCACAAGCGCAGACAGTTCGGAGCATGTGAGAAGAGAGAGCAGGACTGTTTGTGTTTTTCGTATCTTGGAATTTTTTTCGTATCTCAAAATATTTCCCTCGAGACCTTTCGTATCTCGAGCATTTCGTAACTCGAAGCATTCGTATCTCTGGGTACCATTTTATCCAGTATATTTATAGTTCAGGAAGTGTTGAAACTTTACCATTGCTGGAAAGTTTATCATAGACTATATTAAATAGGTTATTATTGCTAAGTGAACACCTGCAGGCCAATCAGAATCCAGTATTTAAATAGACCATGGCATAAGGTGGTTCAAGTCTTAAAATTTGTTTTGATTTTTTTTTTCTTGTTTAATGTATCCAGGTGTCAACATCGGTGAAGTGTTGGACAAGCGGTATGGTGTGTATGGCTACACCGGACAGGGTGTCTTTAGTAATGTGATCCGAGCAAGAGACTTGGCCCGAGCCAATCAGGAAGTGGCGATAAAAATAATTCGCAATAATGAGATGATGTAAGAAACTTCCCTCGAAGGCTCAATCTTTGAATCGTCTAGTTCATTGGGATTATCTCTAAATCTTTTCTCAATAAAGATGGATGTGAGGTATATAACCTTTTGAAATATTCCCACAGGCAAAAGACCGGCCTTAAAGAGCTGGAGTTTCTGAAGAAACTGAATGATGCTGATGCAGACGACAACTTTCACTGCTTACGTCTTTTTAGACACTTTTATCATAAGCAGCATCTGTGTCTGGTGTTTGAACCTCTGAGGTACAGTTTGAAGAATCTCTGTGTAAGTTAC